GCTAAATCCTACCTGTTCATACATACAGAATGGATTAACTAAAACAGTTAAATCCTACATGGATGCATGTCCTGTCAACTAAAACAGTTGAACGACATAACAAATGGTTATTTTATTATTATTTTTTTCTGTACTAGGAAGGATTTATATATATACTTATGGTACCGTGATATGAGCTTAAGTCTCAGGATCATAGTTAGGGTGCGTATATCGCAAAGGTTATGTAACTAGATATAGCTGATGTTCCCTGGTAGGTCTAGGTGTACATGGCCGCTGGAAAGCGCGATTTACATGTTACCTACTATTCAAGCTGAACTACACTATAGGCTAGTGAACATCCTATAGTGTGTATCTATATTTATATGGACTATTTTAGTTATTGTCGAGCTATCTATGATGTATCTGCTTATCGGGTTTATGTATGGGTTGTAGTAATATGGGACATGCATGTGGGCCTGACCCACCCTTATTTTTCTAGTATTCGTTAGTACTAGGCTTAGAGCTTGATCGGGATGAAGCAGATACAGTCACTCACTCTTCTGACTACATAGGACTTCCTTTTATATTTTAGTTTTGGATTTTGATTCTGTAATTTACTTTCATGTGGGATTATTAGGGATCCACTGGATGGATTCCTAAGTTGTACGGATTGAAAAGATTTCATTTATCTTAATCTATTATTCTTGGGGGATTTTTATATTTAGAATTCTTTTCAGCATATTATTTTATTTTTAATTCTTTTGTACTCTTACTTGTTTACATATTGATTGTTTGGTATCCCTTGGATCTGTGCTCGGACTTGATCACTCATGGCTCTGGAATCGAGGGGTATCACAGTTGGTATCAGAGCACTCCAGGTTCTAGTATCCTTAGGAGCGTCTTTCGTTATATAACTTCCGCGTTGCGTCTCTTAAAACTTAGAGCCATATTAGTATTTGTTGTATTCTATTTACGGTTCATTAGGAGGAATTATGGAATGGTTGACACTAGGAGAAGGATGGGGTCCAAGGCGAAAGCGATACAGACCTAAATGAGTAAAAGAGTACGTTATCGAGTTCTTTGTCAAAAGTAGAACTTGGGATCAAAGGTTTCGTTTCAGTTGGCGCTACTTTTAAAAAATATAAGCCAAAGTAGGGTTTAGGAGTGTGTTTTAGGTCACCGCCTAACGGGACCAACACGGTTCCAGTTGTTCTCATAAAGGAGACAAACGAGGAATAGGAGTTCGAAGAGGATTCTAGTAGAGGAGATTTCAACATACCCAAGAAAGAGGGTATTGAATCTTGAAAATCAAGGATCGCGCAAGGGTAATCTTGTTCGCTAATAGTATAGTGAACGATACTAGTAGAGTTAGTGTGGATTGACCTACATATAGTTAAAATTTTGAGTTACCTTAAATGAGGTAGATAAAGAGAACTCTTCAGGAGTTTAGGGTCGGATGGAGTTATTCACCAGGTGAGGGTTATCATTATCCTTCCAACACTTGTTTCCCAAATGAAACTATGATGACCTTGTGGGCAAGTGTGCTGTGGGCGGGTGCAAGAGACACTGTTAGGCTACCACACTAGCGAGTTACGGGTGCATAAGTCCCACATCACCTAGGAGAGGGAAAGGTAAAGTGCTTATATGTAAGTGTGTCATCTCCAATTGGTATGAGGTCTTTTGGGGTGAAGTCTATGAGCAAAACCGTGCTGGCTCAGACTCAAAGCAGACAATATCATACCATGTGGTGGAATATATCGTTACAAATGATATCAAAGCCTGACTCAGCCGGAAGTGTGCCGATGGGGATGTCGGGCCTCCAAGGGGGGTGGATTGTAATGACCTTATGGGTGGGTGTGCCGTGAGCGGGTGCAACAGATACTGTCAGGCTACCACACCGGCAAGTTACAGGTGCACAAGTCCCACATCGCCTGGGAAAGGGAAAGGTGAAGTGCTTATATGTAAGTGTGTCATCTCCAATTGGTATGAGGCCTTTTGGGGTGAAGTTCAAGAGCAAAATCGTACGGGGTCAGCCTCAAAGCGGACAATATCATACCATGTAATGAAGTGGGTATATATTGAAATCTCAATTCCCCTTTGGCATTCACCTTTGACAATTGATTCCATCCAATCCATTGAATTTTAGCCCTCTCTTTATTTTCATTCTACCAAAAGGAAACTTTATGTCATCGAATCAAATTACATATATTGCGTGGTAGTTTGAAATAATCCACAATGTATATTGGCAGGTAAGATCTCCCACCTGAACTCCTGTAGACAAAAATTAACTTTCACCCTTTTAGCTTTTTTTTCATAATTTTTTTTTTCTTATTTTAACCAAATACTATCTATGTCCCAACATAAACATTCTTTTCCGGAATGTAACTTTTTAAGATTTCGTATTTTTTATTATATTAGTAGTGAATGAATTGCCAAATTTATTTATAACAAATCTAAAAGGATGATGATTTTTATTTTTTATAAGTTCTATACAGGAAGATTAAATTGATAATATTATCAAAAAAAAAAAATTCATATTTTATTTTTTTAATAAAACAGCCAAAAATTAAAAATTGAATATTAATTTTGAAAGGAAGGAGTACCTCTTTTTTATTCCGTAACAACACGTGAAAATTCCCGAATCTCATGTGAATCTTCAAATCTTCTTTGTCTCAATGAACAAAAGGGCCCACAGATCGGTTGTTGGTGGCTCACTTTTATCCAGCATGATATCACCCGCCAGTTTGCATGTTTCACATATAATAAGTCCTCAATTGAGGCAGTGAATGTTGACAATTGAGGCAGCTCCCAAGAAGTCCACCATTAATTTCGGCTCCAAGTTTTTTTTTTTTTTTAATTTTTTTATTATTATTATTTTTTCACCCTAACAAACAAATCGTCATGCTATACGGCATTTATAAGAGTAAGGACATAGAACCACAGGCACATCACATAACCTCATTAATCACCAAACGACACCCACTAATGTCAAGATCGCAACCTTGACAACAACAACATTCAGCATGTGCCAGTGAAATTGAAAGTATAAACATCCACAAACATATATCTGTACTGCCTTACTACACCAAAGGTAAGCTTAGTCAAGCACCTGGCCCCCAACAATCAAAACTAGAGCATCGAAAATAGCGGACCTAAACGTCAACCATAACGTTAAGATAGCACCACCTGAAGAACCACAGAGCGATCGTCTGAGCCGACCCATCAATGAACCACTGAGCACATCAGCGCAAGCATCAGAGACTTAGGACTCCAACACTGTGCGCAGATGCTTTAGATCAACCTCCCATCGCAAATTGCTCCATAAAAATAAACTCCAGAAAGGATCAGTCAAAAAGATCCATCTCCGTCGTCGACCCCGAAGAACAAAAAGTCGTCCTTGATTCCCACAAGAATAGTACAAGAAATAATTAATAGCCATGAACCCAAAAGTCATGGAGACAACCGCAACGCAAAGTATCATTGAAGCCAAGCACTGACATCTAAAAGCCAAAAAACACAGAGCAAAAATGAGAGTTAAATAAGAAACAAAGGAGATTAGAGCATTACCCAAATCAAAAGGAAAGTTTGGCACAAATCGGGTATCAAATTCGCCAAGACGCAACGATTGCAAATGAACAAGCCTCCGCGCACATGGTGTCCTCGGTCCATACAACCTACAAGACCGATGGACTGAAGAAGAGATGTAATCCATCTCAAAAAAATCACACTATCTTAGATACAACCCTAAACTCTGATAAACAGAGGACCTCAACGTAGCGAGGATTATGTTGAAACTCGGTTCAACAACTCTCACAGAACCTCCCTTGCCCTTCGTAAACATGAAATCACTAGATCGTTGAAGCTGGATGAGTGAGAATCGCCGTCGAAACTACACGCGCTGGTGGGAAAAAGGAAAGGCGGCTCTCGAAAACCCTAACATAAAGGGAGAAGAGTTGAGAGAGAGAGAGAGAATGGCTCCAAGTTGGAAAATGGCAAGGATTGCCTTGCCTATTGAAGGGGACCAAATGCAAAGCATGAAGTGGAGTACAAGTGAATAGCCAAAGAAGAAACTAATAATAATAATTATTATGGAGGTGTTTTGAAAGAATGAGCAAGACATATAAAAGATACACGGCATGTATGTTTGTGAGATCTGACTCACATTTCCTAAATCATTCAAGACATAATTTTTCGTGTGCTCTGTGGGGGCATAATTGGCCGAACCATGTCAAATTATTGCCTCAGATCACATTTCCTAAATCATTCAAGACATATATTGAATTTTTTGTGTGCACTGTGGGGGCATAATTGGCCGAACCATGTCAAATTATTGCCTTGTGGCTATGTGCATGTTTGTTCGTGTTTACAGTACTGTTCAAAAAGACAGTGTCTAAGAAAGTCTTGTCAATCAACAATACTGTTGTCTGAGGAGACTGGGTTTTAAGTGGGATTATTGTGACCCCTCCAATTTTTCTCGAAAACTTATCTGATTACATTTTGGACAATGCTTGCTTGGTTTGTTTTCATTGACAAATTGAACCCGAGATCCTGGAGAAATTAGTGGCGTATGGCTTGCCATGAAGCCTATATTTTAGAATGTCAATCAGCCTCCTCAACGCTTCATCAGAATTTGCCCTGCAAAACGATTTAACTATCAAAAAATAAGTGTGACACCATTGTTGCGCTCCAATAGATTACACGAATTCAGGAGATTTGTGCTAGTCTTATTGCAACGAATAAATGGGCCGATAAATCCTATGTGCAAAATAGGAACAAATATGGGGGCAACAGGTTGGCCTATTATCCCTCTAGATGGGAAAATCATCCTTAAAAAAGTCCTGATATTAGGTAGAGTGGAGAAGCTGGTTGTAGAAATACAAGCTCTCGTTGAATGGTACTAGCTTTTAAAGATTTTGCTATGTTATCTTGGAGAGAGATTTATTTATCTTTTTAGCTTCGTTACGTCAATAACGCAGTGGTACTCTTTTAAAAAAGTATCTACCAAACCAAAGTTTGTGCGAGTTAGTAAATAGTCAGGGAAAAAAAATAAATAAATAAAAAATAAAAAAGTGTCACCTCTAGTCAATTGTACTAAAACGCGTATGCTTCTACTAACTGTTTTAATGTAATGAATTTGACTCTTCTTCTCTGCTCCACCGCTCATTTTTCCACTCAAAATAATTGAATTGTACGAAGACGCGTCATCTGCTTTATATTAACATTTCTTGTGTTCTTTCCCCTTCGCATACAAGTGTCAGATATCGAGTTTGGCGTGGATGAATACAGAGATTTGCATCCTGTAAGTTCAATATCCTATTGGTTTTATATTAGCATTTGTAGTATTCTTCCCCTGTTTAGCATAGACGCACACAGTCACACACAGAACAGGTATACTACATATCTTACCAAAACGTCCAACATGTAAAATCTTAAACAGTATGTAACGTGGAACTCCATCTATTCGAAAACTTTTAATTCATTCCTTATTTTTGTAGTAAAAAACAAAGTGACTTTTTTAAAGCTATTTTTGTGAAATTTGACATCATGCCCACCTAAAATAAATTACCACCATATATTACTTATTTTTTTCTAAATAAGTTGCACTGACCTTATTTGAAATTTGGACAAATTATATACGAGTAGACGAATAGACCGTTCAACATTTAATACTTTGACCTTCTCTGAGATTTGATGGCATACCAATTGATCAAATTTTTTAAATGACAATTTTATCCCTCCCTTTTAAAAAATACAATATAATTTATTATTTTAAATATATGGGTATTACTGACACTCAGTCACTTTTTGGGAGTTGATCAACGAATAAAAATAAAAATAATAAATGAATAAAATTTACTAATAAATAAATAAATAATTAAAATTAAATTTTTTGGGTTTCATATATTCTTTACAAAATCTCCTTATTTATTTTATTTTATTTTATTTATTCTTTACTTTAATTTTATTTTTAGTTTTATTTAAATTTATTATTATTATTTTGTCTTAAAGGCATTTTTGGTATTTTAGTCTTCAAATTGAAGAATTGTTTTTATTTGCTCCATTTATAAAATATAGGGTTTTTTTTTTTTTAATATCAGGGAGGTATTTGACTATTATTTCATGATACATACTATACACAAATATTTGACTACTATTTCATATTATATAGTTTATTTATATATTTATTGTATAATATATTATAAATATTTTTATAATACTTAATTAAAATAAAAGTTTTCTTATATATTGTGTGTTATATAGGTATATTATTTTCTAAAAAAAATTATTTATTAAATAATATATTTCATATATAGTAATTAATTTATTATAATGTAATGTATTTAGATAGTTTTATTTATTTTCAAATTTTAGTATAATTGATCATATAGTGTTATGTTATATTTTTTGTATATGAGTTTTTATAATACAGTGATAAAGTGTTAAAAATGAAAGTGCATGGGAGTTTTGTGAATTTAACCTTTAAAATAAATTTTACTTAAAAAAGTATTTTAATCATTCAAAACTCTAATACTATGTTTGGTGTGCGGGAATGAAATGGAATGAAATGCTCATTCTAACCATTCTTGTGTTTGGTAAGTAATTTAAAGTGGGAATGGTCATTCATTAAAATGAAAATCCATTCCACAACTAAACCTTTGGAATGGCCATTCCATTTCCAAGTAATTTTTTTTAAAAAAATAAAGTTCCCAAAAATCCTCATGCTCCAAGTCAAAAACCACTATCAACACCACCTTCCACCACAACCACCGTCGACTTTTATGACCACCACCACCTTCATTACCTTTCACCACTGTCACTGTCACCACCACCATTGTTGCCACCTTCAACCAACACACCGCTGTCATCTCCACTGCCTTTAGCCATTGTCACCTCCACTGCCTTCCACCAACGTCACCACTACCACCACCATTGCCACCTCATTCACCATCACTACCACCTTCTACCACCATTGCAACATTCTACCATTTCCACCACCATCATTATCATCATCACTGCCACCACTATAGCTTCCTTCTACCACCATCACACTGTCGCCGCCACCACTGTTTTTCACTGCCAACTCCACCACTACTGCTACTGACTTTCATCACCACCTCCACCACAACCACCACCTCCACCTCCACCACCACCAACTTCCATCACCAACACCACCACTACCTTCTACCATTGCCGCCGCCACCTCCACCTCTACCACTAACGCCACCTCCACTGCTACGGCCATCGACTTCCATCACCACCACTATCGCCTTCTACTAACACCCTGCTGCCTTCCGCCACCACCATCCACACCACTACTCTATAATGACACTTATCCTATTCGGACATAATATTGTTCGCTTTTGGCTCACCCGAACTAGAGATTTAATTCCCAGAGGGTCACCAATCCTTAAGCACATTTAACTCCGAAATTCTGGTAGGTTCACGGCAATCACAACTTTAAAACACGTTATGTCATAGAAAGGTGTTAAATCTACATATAACACTTGCCGCTATTTCTTTTAAAAATATATATAGAAAAATGTTATTTTGTCAATTAAAATTATTTATCACTAAAAGGGTATTTTGGAGAATGCAATTTGAAATTCATTCTTTTCTAAATTTTACGTTAGTCCATTCTTATTGATTTCATATTTGTAACCAAACAATAGAATAAGAATGACTGTTCCATTTCATTCCTGCACACCAAATGCAGCATAACAGAATGCACACATTAATTGGACTAATAACCCAATCAGAAATGTTTTCCATGAGTATAGCATCAGTCTAAAAATTGTTCACTAGGATCTTTACTTGTTTGAAATGGAAAAATGATATCTGGTATAACAAGAAGTGTGGGGCTGATATAAAGATGTCCAACTAAATGAAGGCTACATGCCTTAGTTCAAGCATGAGAATTCTATTATATCTTGATAATAATAGGCATTTTGTATATTGAACACAGAATTGTAGAACATGGAATCTAATTGCAGAGTAGAACATGTCACCATTAATATCGATGAAAAGCTTGCTGGTCATTCTGATTTGCCTCGTGAGCGTTGCATCTTCAAAGTGCATGAAAAACTACGTAAGGTAAGTCCAGAAGCATATGAACCATCAATTCTTGCAATTGGTCCTTACCACCAAGAAAAACCTAAAACTCCAAGGGATGGAAGAGTTTAAACTACAGTACCTAAAATCACTTCTTCTACGAAAGGAGGAGAAAAGCGCAGAGGGATACGTAACTGCAATGAGGGAACTGGAGGAAAAGGCACGTAAATGTTATGCAGAACCTACAGGCCTTGCTTCAGACGAATTTGTGCATATGATGCTTCTTGATGGTTGCTTCATCATTGAACTGTTTCTGAAGTCGTTAGGCATGGTTAGAAGAGATGACAATGACCCTATTTTTGGAATAGGTTGGATGGGCAACTGCTTAAGACTTGATTTGATCTTATTCGAAAATCACCTTCCTTTTTTCGTTCTTCTCAAATTATATGATTTGATTGAGGGTCCAGATCCAGAAATGTTCATTTTGATTGCATTATTGTTCTTTGAGACATTTTTAGGTCATCTAGGCGAGCCTAGATTTGACACGATCAGTTCTCTTCATGAAGCCCAACATTTACTCGGTTTTCTACACGGTAGTAGATGCCCTCGACTTGAAACGGGAAGAAACCGGGAAATAAGGAGAAGTGAATGGAGGAGCATACAATGTGCATCTCAACTTCAAAAGGGCGGAATTAAGTTCAAGAAAGCTGAAGGCAGGAACATGTTTGATATTACATACTCTAATGGCACAATTAGAATCCCACATTTGACCATTGCTGATCGAACAGAGTCCCTCTTCAGAAACCTCATTGCGCACGAACAGTATGGTGATGATTTTAGTGTTTTGCTATATCACCAGTTATTGCATCTTCATGGATTTTCCCATTGACATCCCTTCGGACACTAGTTTACTGCGTCGTGAAGGAATTATTACAAACTGGCTGGGTGATGATGCTGTGGTTTCCACCATGTTCAACAAGCTTTGCTAAAATATCACCTTCGATATGAGTTATTTCAACTATGGTAACATTTTCAATAATGTGAGTATGCATTGCTGGAAACGTCGACACAGATGGATGGCGAAGTTAAGGCGTGATTATTTCAATAGTCCGTGGGCACTCATTTCGTTTCTTGCAGCCTTTGTATTGCTTTTGCTTACTATCATACAAACAGTATGTGCTGCTTGGTCATATATTCCTCTTTCATTTTTAGGTTATAATCCCAATTATGTATAATCTTTTGGAGTAATAAAATCCGTGTCCACGGTCACTATCAAGGGAAATTTAGGGAGACTTGTATGGTGTGTGGTTCTGCATCATACGCTGAACTTTGACAACACTACAAGAAAAGGAGGCTTTTGGGACGGATTATTTGGGACGGTTCAAAAATTGTCTCAAATGAGCCTAGTTTTTGGGACAATAATATATCTACCGTCCCAAATGAAATATCTACCGTCCCAAATGAGAAAAAAAAATGACCGGGAATATTTTTGGTGGGAAAATGAGGCTCTTGGGACAGATCATTTGGGACAGCTTAATAATTGTCTCAAATGATCCTGCTTTTTTGGGACGCCAACATACTTACTGTCCCAAATGAGCTAAAAAATAACCGGGAATTATTTTGGTGGGAAATTTTGGCTGCTGGGAAATTTTGGCGCTTGATTTCCTCCCTCCCTAATTCCAATTTTCCCATGTGCAAAATATTAAAAAATTTCCATACTACACCGTTTTGGGTATTTGTAAAGTTGTAAACCCACTCTTTGTCTCTGTCATTCTCATTTCTATCACTATATAACTTAACCTAAACATTTATCATCTATCTACTCTCTGTACAGCAGACGCCGCACCGGCCAGTTGCAATTATCTCACGTTGGCCAATTCGGCTTCTCATCTCTCTCCCTCATATACTTTCTCTGTACAACCGACGACGCCGCACCAGTTGCAGCTACTTCATGCGGGTTCGGCTTGCCACACTCTTCTCGGCGTGAAGCGATACACATACGAAAAACCTCTCTCGTGTCAATCGGAGCTAAGAAGCATAGTGATCGGAGGATCGATTGAATTTGGAAGGTCTCCTTTTTTGCTGCTTCTAATCTCTCTCGTGTCAATCAGAGCTCACTCTCTCTATCTCTCGATCGGTGATTGAAATCGACAATTATCCGTAAGTTTTTGCAATCAATCGTATGGTTATTGTGTGCGTAATTTCTTTAATGGCGTCCACACTTTTGATAAATTTTCCCTAATTTTCAAATCATGAATCATATGTGTGTTTTTGAGAATTCTACACTGGTGGATTTAGATCTTATTGGGATTTGGGGCACACAAACTTTTATGCCTATATTTGTATTATATATGTTTGTATGCAGTACTTGTGTCAACATTGGTGCTCTGATTAATTATGATATAGAGTAAGAAATTTATATAAACATAGTTATATGATCTACTCCAGTTGTCTGGTTGTTTGCTAGAATCATCATTAGGCGAGCTTGATATGGCTGGACTGGTTGGTTTAGAGGCAAGCTGTTGATTGGTAATTTTTAAAGGTGGTTCTGATTTAGTGGTTCCTAGAGAGTCTTCATTTTGGATGATAATTTTTAATTTTTGAAGAATTAGTTTAAGATTTCCCAAGAATATAAAGCTTCCAACCCACAATTATTATTATTATTATTATTATTATTATTATCACTATTATTATTTCTTCCTGTGAATCTGATCTTTCTATTGAATATCTGATCATGGGCTAAAATAAAGACTCAGATTTCTCATAATTAACCGTTACCAGTTAGGAACGATACCGGGCAAGTGTAGCCTTAGGAACTTGGCTTAAACTACCTAATTTCTTAAAAGGTTAGCGTAAGTTTTCAAATCATGAACAATGTGTCAAATAAATTTTTGTTAGACCCTGATAATTCATGGAAAAATGAAGTGTTTTGACTCTTAATGTGTTGGAACAGAAATAACAAAAATATAGAATGGGTATTCTGCTTACAGCTTTAATTTAATGTCTGACTGCTAGTTTTTGAGCCTTCTCATCCTTGGACAAGCCCTTTCCCACCTAAAATCATCAAGTCTTGTATTAATACTAAAAAATATATAAAATAAAATGTACTGAGAGAATATGTAGGTGGTTATATAATCTACTGTGGTCTTGGTCAATATTCAAAACAAGAGAAGTCCTGATTTTCTGTCAAAGTAATTTTTACTTTTATGTTTCTAGAAACCAAATTCCCCCCATTGTTCTTATTGATTTGTACATCAGAGAGGTGCTTATTCTTGATCTAGATTAATCTCATTTCCAGCATTTATGTTTCTTGTCTGTATATCTTGGTAATTAAAGTTGTTTATAAAAATGAAACCGATTGAACTGTGATGTTTTCTCATGTATTCTTACTAACATGTAGTGACTATATTTTCTGACAGGCCTTCCAGTTATTGCCATTGGTGTAGGATTCAGCACATGTGATAAAGCTTCTGTAAGGATTATTGTTTTCCCCCCAAATTCCCTTTGACATTCATAATTATGCAATGTATGCATGTATATTCTTAGAGACTTGTTTTACTCTCTCTTTATTGTTTCAGTGTTCTCAATGAGGTCTCTCTCTCTCTCCTTTCTTTTTTATTTTATTTATGTATTTAATTTGTGTTTATATTTAACTTGCATTAATTATATTATATCTATACTTGAATTTATTTATTTTACCAGTTACATGGATAAGGCTTGGATTCATCATCACACCAGGGGTAGTAAAGAGTATCATAAAGGCATAAGAGACTTCATTAAGTTTGCTAAAAGACATACAGATGGGCTAGGTAGGATCAAATGTCCGTGTCGTCGCTGTAAAAATGGTGACTATATTGCAATTGAGGAGGTTGAGACTCATCTATATAAGTGTGGGATGTACAAGGAGTATACTAATTGGATATGGCATGGGGAGGCTAATGTTAACACCACTGCTAATGTTAATGCAGAAGCTAATGTTAATGCCGAACATGGGGATAATGCTAATGATGAAGGTAGAAATGAAGACAATGTATTTGATTTGTTGGATAATGTACGGATGGGTATGTTCACCAATGTAGAACAACAAGAAGATTCGCCTGAAGTTGATATAGGAGGAAGTTTTGATAGATTGCTAAATGACGCACAATGCGAATTGTGGCCAGGTTGTAAAAAACAATCTAAGTTGTCAGCAATTTTGAAGTTGTTCCATGTGAAAGTTACAAGCCGAATGACCAACAAATGTTTTGACATGTTGCTTAAGGTGCTAAAGGAATTGCTTCCCGATGACAACACGTTGCCAAAGTCCTATTATGAGACCAAAACCTTGTTGCGTGATTTAGGTCTTGGATATGAACCGATCCATGCATGTAAAAATGATTGTACTTTATTCTGGAAGGAGAATGAAGGTAAAGAATGTTGTCCACAATGTGGTGAGTCGAGGTATAAGTCTCGAGAAGGTAAAGGAAAAAAGATTCCTCAAAAAGTTCTTCGGTACTTTCCTTTAAAACAAAGGCTTCAATGGTTGTTTATGCATAGGGATACAGCTATAGACATGCGTTGGCACAAGGAGAAACATGTCAAAGAGACAAATTTGTTGAGACATCCAGCCGATTCAAAAGCTTGGGAGGAATTTGACAATAAGAATAGTTGGTTTGCTGCGGATCCTCGTAATGTTCGTCTTGGGTTAGCATGTGATGGATTCAATCCATTTGGTAACATGAGTAATGCTTATAGTGTGTGGCCTGTAATTATTGTGCCCTACAATTTGCCACCTTGGATGTGTATGAAGGAACCATATATGTTTATGTCATTACTTATTCCTGGTCCTAAATCACCTGGTAATGACATTGATGTGTATCTGCGACCGTTAATTGATGAGTTAAAAGAATTATGGATAGATGGTGTGATGACATATGATGCCTACAATAAATCAAACTTTAAGCTGCATGCAGGGTTGATTTGGACTATACATGACTTTCCCGCTTATGCAATGGCATCCGGATGGATGACAAAGGGTTTTTTGGCGTGTCCAAATTGTAATAAAGACACATGTTCTTGTTATTTGAGTCACGGGCAGAAGATATGTTATTTGGGAGCTCGTATATTTTTGTCGTCCAATCATGCTTACAGGAAGCGTTTCAAACAATTTAATGGCAAGAAAGAAGACAGAGAGCCACCAAAGCAGTTGACGGGTGATGATATTCTGGAACAATTTAATCTCCTACCCGAGGTTAGATTCGGAAAGGGACCAAACAATAAGAAGCGGACTCGTGAGAAGAAGGAACTTAATTGGACAAAGAAAAGTATATTCTTTGAATTGCCTTATTGGAGAACACTTTTGTTGCAACACAACTTAGATGTTATGCACATAGAGAAAAACATATGTGATAATGTGTTAGGGACATTAATGAACATCGAAGGAAAGACGAAGGACTCATTCAAAAGTCGGTTGGATTTAGAAGCAATGGGAATTAGAAAAGAACTTCATCTTAGGCGTAATGGTGAGAAATTTGAGATGCCACTTGCGCATTACACATTGTCAAAGGATGAAAAAAGGCAATTGTGTGATTGGTTGAAGTTAGTGAAGTTCCCAGATGGCTATGCATCAAACATAAGTCGATGTGTGAATGTCAATGAAGGTAAGATATCTGGATTGAAAAGTCATGATTCGCATGTACTCTTACAGCGTCTCCTCCCTCTAGCTATACGAGGATTGTTGCCCGATGATGTTTGTAATGCGATAACAGAGCTTGGTTTATTTTTTAAGGAGTTGTGTTGTCGGACCCTTAAACTAGATGTCTTAGAGGTATTGGAAAGGGATATTGCTATCATATTATGCAAGTTAGAAATGATATTTCCTCCATCATTTTTTGACATAATGGTGCACTTAGCTCTGCATTTGCCACGCGAGGCCATCATTGCAGGACCTGCACAATATCGATGGATGTACCCTATTGAAAGGTACTATACATTTGTAATACAAAAAAATATTTTGGAAACATTAAACTAGACATCATGATTTCGTAATATTTTAATTTTTATGTAGATTTTTACGTACTCTCAAGTCTTACGTGCGTAATAAAGCACGTCCTGAAGGGTCCATCGCTGAAGCTTATGTGGACAATGAATGCGTCACATTTTGCTCAAGGTTTCTTCAAGGGATTGAGACACGATTCAATCGAGAAGAAAGAAATTACGAGGGCGACTATTGCACCAATTGGTCCACTTTTTCAGAGCTCAGGCAAGTGGTTCGTCCTTTAGGGGCTGGAAGTTTAGAGATACTGGATATTGAAAGCATGCAAAAGGCTAAATTTTACGTGTTAAATAA